GCTTAACTGACAGTTTGTCTTTCAAGGGTCGGGGCGGCTGCTGTGGAGTTCGGGGCCATGGCACTGGGGTCGCAGGTCGGGCAGGTGATGGGCAGCACGCAGGCACCAACGCTTCGTGTGGCAGCTCCTTCATCCCCCAGCCCACATGGTGCTGGTGCTTCTGCTGTGGAGGAGGCAGACGGGGGAGAGGGACCTTAGTGTGGACACAGAGTGCGGCTGCTATTCAGTCACCTCTGTTAATTTATAAAACCTGTGTATGTAAGTATGTGCATATTCTGAGTAGCGTTGCCTAAGCGTGAGCTACAGATGCTTTGTTCTGGTGACCGGGGGTGGCAGGCAGCAGGGAAGGCTGCCTGAAGCTGACCCAAAAAAATGAGGGGAGTTTCCCTGGGGATTATTGTCCGGGAGGTGACAGTATAACTCACTTCTTTGCCTTCTAGCAAGAGCTCTGTGGCCGTTGTGCTTTTAAAGCACTGCTTTCATGAGGAGACTGGTAGTCAAGACTAAAATAAGGAAAGGACGTGGTATGGATAGATACTTGAGACAGTGATGTTTTCTTGTCTGATCTCCTGTTGTATTATGAACTTTAAAGAAAAAAGAAAATTCCATTTTGGAGTAGGAGAAAAATAAGCTTCTGTTATACAATATCTACATTAATGGATTCCTTCTATCAAAGGCAGAAAATAGCTGTGTTACTAAATATAATTAATGCATCTCGAGTTTGGAGAACATTATGCTAAATGTCCATGATACATTCTCTGTCCCCTTTGGCAGTAGCATATGATCAATTTTGCTACTCTGTCCTTACCTAATTATTGCTGTCGCTAATGAAGGGAAGTAGAGAAAAACATGTCTTAGTAGGTTAATAAGCCATCCAGAAAATTATATTAGCATGATCAATCCTTAATGATTATGGTTTCTCACAATATTAGATCACCTGAAAGGTGTTTTTCATAGGAGATGGGAGGGGAAGTAGATATCATTTTGCAGCCATTCTTCCAGGTGTGCTCTGTTGGTTTTTGGAGAGAAAAGCAGTCAGACTTTGGCTGAGGACTTTTGACCGCTCTTGCAAACATTGATTTACTTAGTGGAGCTGGTTTATTTTATCATACAAGCATCTAGAAGGGCAGCAAGTGTGGGAGATTTTCTACCTTCCCTCCTTCCACAAATACTTGTAGCATTGGCTTTCACCGGCACTGGTGGTGTACATGTTCTGTGTTGCTTTTCCTAAGTTTTTGTGAAGAAGCTGGCAGTCTCAGATCAGTCTGAGCAGCTTCCAACTGGCATTTCCCCTCTTCCTCTCTCCACGATGATACACCTTCATTTGCAATCTAGTATCTGGTTTAGCATCTGTCAGGATTCCTTTCATTTGTTTGTTTTTTGTCTCATTGATGCTTCTTTAAGCACCCGTGTATGCCAATACTGCAGCACACTCAGGACATGTTTATTTTGATGAAAACATTTCTCTCAGAGCATGTCCAAGGCATTAAAATGAGTAGCAGAGGAATCATCCTCAAACATCAGACTCTTTTTTTTTTTTTTTTTAAATTTAAAGATTTTCCTGAAATTAAACTGAATCACAGTCCTCCCTTTTAATTTGTTAATTATACTTCTGCAATGGTAATGCAATCAGTGAATATAGCTAAAGTGTTTGTGTGTGGGAATCAATATTAATGAGAAAGAGCATATTTGCAAAGTGTGATACGTATCGGCTATTTGCTTAGTGTCTGGCTGCCGGCGCAAGGCTGCTCTAAACCAGACCCACCCGAGCGACGCAAGGAAGCGCAGTTGCAGGAAGAGAAGGGGGAGAGACCCTCCAGCTCATTCACTCCCGATAGTCCCTTCTACACTTTCCGTATGCGGGGGACGGTCTGGAGCAGGGCGCGCTGCCGTTCGGGCAGGAGAGGCCCGCGATTCGGGCAGCCCAGCCCTCAGAGAGCTTGAGCTGCTCTAAACCAGACCCACCCGAGCGACGCAAGGAAGCGCAGTTGCAGGAAGAGAAGGGGGAGAGACCCTCCAGCTCATTCACTCCCGATAGTCCCTTCTACACTTTCCGTATGCGGGGGACGGTCTGGAGCAGGGCGCGCTGCCGTTCGGGCAGGAGAGGCCCGCGATTCGGGCAGCCCAGCCCTCAGAGAGCTTGAGCTCGGCAGCTGCGGCACCTTGGCCAAAGCGGAAAGTCGGGGCTTTCGCAGCCTGCCTGCCCTGAATGACTTCGCAGGTGACAAAACTCTGAGCGAGCTCATAAAGGTTCATCACGACTAAGTGAGAATGAAATCTGGCATTTTCCTGCTGGGCTTCCAATTTTCTGTATATGCAGTGTATTGAAGCTAAGTGAGATTAAATGTTTAAACCTTTCGTGCCATATGGCTCCCCCTATATCATAAACACATCTGTAAAATTGTACTCAGGGGGGCAACATCGTCCTGGTGTAAATGGATTCAAATCCACGCTTCTCGGCTGCTCGTATCAAGGCTGTTTGATGTGTCGCACTCAACCTATTTGTCCTGTTAGTGGAGGTCTGGGAGGTTTTTCCCTACGCAGTCACGTAAATTCTGGGTGACAGAACAAAAATAGATCTGCAGTTTGTCCACAGACCTGGCCCGTGGAGGCTCCTTCTCCTAAATCTTTGCCGCCCTTCCAGGAGTGGCTGTGCTACTCAGGAACTCCCTTGCCTTTCTGCTTAGGCTATCGGCAGTGCTGCCAGCATTCGTCATGGGTTTTGTGCTGTGGACACAACTATTCCACTGCATAAACCATAAATCAAGGAGTACAATAAGCCATTAATGGTGCTACTCATGCAATGCCTCAACCTGCCCACTAATAATGGAAATAAGAAGGAAAAACACGGTTCAACTGATTTTTTTCCCATTTGTCCTGAAAGATCATCTTACTGCTGAACATTTTCATGCAATTAACCGCTGCAGTATGTTTTCGTGTTTGTTGAAGAACAGGATTATATAAAAGATAGGATCTGTGTTGCATAAATACTTCATCTCCTGCTGCAGGATTTAGAAACTTTGCAATTGCCCTCGTCTTAGCTTCTAGCAAGTTCCTTAGGTGCCTGCTCTCCTGTGCACCCTGAGCTACAGCAGAGGCCCAAGCACTGCCTAGCTCCAGGCTTGGGGAGGGAGAAATACCTTTACACATTTCAGGAGAGCTATTTTTACAACTAGCTCCGAGACAGATTTTCTTTTTTCTTTAAACGGAAATCCTCACTTACAGAGAAAGGAGCAAAGACTGAGGTGAGCCCTGGTTGTACAAGTTCAGAGGATCAGCTCAGCAGTGACAACTGCAGATCAGGGAGTGCTACTGCAGAAATACTAAATTCTTCTGGGGCAGGAGCTGTGAAGGGGGTTGGGGATCGCCCTTTGCACGCAGGCCGACCGCTGAGCTGGTGGAGGAGGAGGCAGGTAAGGAGCCGCCTGTCATGGCTCCCACCACGAGGGTACAGCCTGGCTGAACGCGGTTTTCGACTGCCAGTCTTGGCACCTGCCTGAGCTGCCTCCTTCTGAGACCCCACTGCAGAGCGTGAGCTTGGCACGTGTCTTCACGACTTCTGGGCTGCGGGGCAGCTCCAGCTCCCAGTTACGGGTGTGTAACCTGCATTGGCACCACAGGGATAAACAGCAAGGAGTATAGCGTGGAAGAAAAGCAGAGCGGGAGAAGAAAACTGCGCTCCTCTTGGGGAATTCAGTGAAAGGTAGACCCAAGTCATTTTTACAGTAGAGCCACTTTACACCACCCTGATTATGTAAATGGGACATAAAGTAAATTGGACTTTCACTCGCTGTGACAGTCCCTTCCATTGCCGGAGTGATTTAAAGGAGCCTTAGTGTAAATTAGAACCAGGACCAGTGTCTGCGGTCCGCGTTTTAGGATTTAAAACCAGTCATTTCCCAAGATAATTGTGGTGCAGTCAAGACTAGGAGCAACTTCCTAAAATTGGTTAATACCCAGATTTGGGTTTCTTCTGTGGCTTAAATGGAGTGGCATATTATCTCCTCTATAGTCTGCCTAAAAGATAGATTTGATGTCTGCGAGCAGAGACATGAAATTGCTATAGGCTTCCACTCTCATAGCCTGCCACCTATTTGATTTATGTGATAAGTGATCTCAGATGACCCTCCAAGGCACTGAACCATTAGAGAGTTATGTTGCACAGCGATAAGAAATCTTCAGAGATACCTAAATCTTCTTTTACCACTGGGAGTTTCATCTGTTCTTGAATAAAGAACATTTTTATGTATGATGTTGCTATCTTGCTAGCCATACTAATATTCAAAAGGATACACAGACTTAAATCAATAGCAAAGTGACAAAGACCTTAAAACTGAAGTAGTCACCAAGTGGATGCTAGACAGCTCTTTTAGCTTTTATCTTTGTTCTTTTCATTCTGTTTCTTGAAAGATGAGTAGCTGTAAGGTTTCACATTCAAGTCTTCTGTTAATCTTTCCACCAGGTAGGAAGCTGGCAAAAGCACCCTTTCAGTGCGCAAAGCCCTGGAAAGTCACGTCACCCATTTGGGACTTCCGTATTGTAGGCTTTGTGGAACCGTGGGTTGGATAACTCCTCTTTTTTTTTTTAACTGAATTTCTCTAAATTTGGTGATCCAGGTGCCTCTCTGCCTAGAATGAATAAAAGTGCTTAGAACCTCAGGTGGGATGTGAGTTCTTGACAGAGATCAGGGAAAGCACAGACGAGTAATTTCTGTGGTTTACGTCCAACTGTAGTATCTTCCCCTGCAGAAGAAGGCACTGCTGACTCATACTCCTCCAGCTGAACCTGTATCTAATGCATTGTTTGCTTGATAGAATTTGCTGTAAGTGCAGTGTTACAGCATGTATATAGTCTGTTCCATCCATCAGATTTCCTTTTTATCATGTGTTTAGTGCATCAACCATAAGGTATCCAGCAGTAAGCTTCTTTTTCAGGCAGTAGACATACCAGAGGAAGAGGAGGGGCCAGAACCAGTCCCTGCCTTTCGGCAGAGCCCGAAGATGCCAGCGCTCTTTGCAGGTCGGCAAGGAGAGAGTGTTTGGCAGTCCACAGGAGGGATGAAGAGGGTTTCAAGCCTGGCCTGCTCCCCTCCCTTCTGGCATGTAGGGCCAGCCGGCCACAAGTGGCTCACACTTGACTCTCCCCCTGAGTAACCTTTGATGGACGTTTTTCTTACAAATAAGAAAAGCATTATGATATTGGGTACTTTCCTGGACTGCAGCTTCCCATCTCCCTTGACACAGCGCTGAGGTTTAATGATCTGTGTGGCCAGGCAAGTCAACCTGAGGGGAGACTCAGACATCATCTTTCTCTATTTCTCCTTGATACTGAAAAATCTCCTGGTCCTTGCAATTAGGACTACAGTAATCTCCTTCCAGGCTCTTGAATAATGGCCTTGATTGGTGACCTGTCACATTGCATACATCCAGCTGTGGGCATGTCCACTTGGTTGTTTTGTTCATACTATTGGGCGTATTGAAATACATGAGAGCAGGGACTGAGGACACAAAAGCTTTGGCAGCTTTGCAGGCATGTTTTTACAAGCAGTATCTATTCGTTGAAAATTCTCCTGCAAGGAAGTGATTTCCCTTTAACATTAAATAATGCAAGGCAGAGATGAATAGTCCCCATATGCTATTTGGCTTTTTACTCAAAGCTGTTTATGAGGGGAAGCTCTTGGCAAAATTAAATGAGCCTCCTCTTCCTCAAACTGGCAAATACTGTCAATGCTGGTCACCGTACACCTTCATAAATCTGCAGTGCTGGCATCCCACATACGCCAGGCAAACATGAAATTTTGTAGGGGGACCGCGCAAGGGTGCAATAATCACAGCTGTTTCATGTCAGCATTCAGAAAGCTTACAATAGGGTTTTATTCAATGAGCCATTCCTTTTGAAATGCCATTGGAGATATTTGCTGGGAGAAACTGGCCTCAACTAATCGTATTTTTTATCAAATGCACTATGGGAGCAGCAGGGATATGCATGAGACAGAAACAAGCAAATGGTGTTTATTTAGAATAAATAAACTTTGAGTAAGAATTGAATCCTTTCCCTCCTGACCACGGTTGCACAAATAGAGGCAAGTGCCTGCAGAGGTCTGTAGGGGGTCACGTCGTGACTTCAGACCCGGATGCTCTTGGAGACCTCCAGTTGTGCCCGCTGAAAGGAGAGAATTGCCATCAGATATGACAGAGCAGCAACGGTGTTCCGGTGGAACCATTCCTGTCCCATCCACTTTTCGCCACGATAAATGAGGTTCAGACGGTGTGGAGGCTGCCCATCTCGCCAGGGGCCCCTGGACTGGATGACAGCCGGAGAAGGCTTCTGAGGTTTCTAAGACGTTGCGCTGCGCGAAGCGAGAGGCGCATGGCTTTGCACGGGCCCGTGGCTCCCCTCACAGCTGTAGCACCTTGTCTGTAGGGCTGCCAGAGCGGCTCCGTGCTGGGCCCTGCGTGAGGGTAATTGCAACTGAAGGGCTGGGGGCGGTGGGGAAAGGAAAGAGCCCAAAAGAGAACGGGAAGGCAGGCATGACAGGAAGCAGGACAGGAGGTAAAAAATAAGGATGGAACTGAAGAGACCAGCAGCGCTTAGTAACTGCGTGAAACACTTTTTATACTAGTTATTTACTGAACTCAGGGCACTTCCCAGAAGCTGTTTTCTGGCACTAATTAGACTGTATCCAGGGCAGAATCGGAGCCTTCAAAACAAGGTGCGGGTGAGCTCAGCAAATGGTCTTGCAGAAGAGTGAGCTGTTACAGAAGTGCTGCTTTGTTGTCCAGCATAAACTCAGCACTGTACAGGACTGAAAAATCATGAATCAGCCCTACAAAAATAGTTAGTTATTTAAAATTATAAACTTGATAGTTTCTGCTATTTATTATACTCCCAAGCTGTTTCTCCACAATCCTAAAGCTTAGATGTACCTTTCAAAACAAAAATACATAGAAACTGAGATCCTAATACATGAAGATAATCCACTGGCTGTGATTTTAAGAAAAAAACATAACCTGAGAGTCACAGTAGAAATACGAGAGCTGGAAAACATTGCAAATTGAGTCTGACCAGCATCAAAGCAGTGCCAGGCTGTATCTACATGGTCTTTAGCAAGAAGATAAGGACATGTTTTATCAGTGGTCTGAGTTGGCTGGATACATCTAGTTCCTCCCTGAAAACCCTCTTAGGTATTTGCATCATGCTGAAGTTTCCCATTAACCTTTTCCAGCACGTGGGAGAGAATGGCAACGTGGAGGTACCCAAGATGGGACTTGAAGCAATATAAATGCTGGGAAAGGTGGTTTGGTTTCCTGGGCAGGCAGCTCAGGTATGGCACGACCCTGGCACTGTTTAAATAACCTGCCCATCTCTCGCAGCAGAGAGGTGGTTTCAAGGACTGACCCTTGGTGGTATGGAGAAACCGATCAAAGGCTCCTTGGCGTGAAGGGGTCTTTTTTCCGTATTTTTCCATATTTCGGATCTTGTTGAGCCGTTCTGAGTTGGGTTCTGAGCTGGGTAGAGACACTCTTGTCTTGTGCGATAAGAATTTCCCCAGCGTGTTCGTGTGTGTGAGAGGGAGCAAATCTGTATTTGTTGAGGTGGAGCCAGACAGCAGGAGTAAAGCAGAGTAAGGCACGTCAGAGTTCGGATTTATTACCAATACGGTAGGCCATTTTCTTTTCATTTTGACTGTAATGCCATTCTGAGCCTCTGCCAGACTTCGAGAGCAGAATCATTCATGAGTTGACCACCTGCTTCACACCCTTCATTTTTCTCACTTTGCAGGTTTTGACTGAGCTAATGCTTTCAGGAAAAAAGACTTATTGATTAGAGTGAAGTCACTTGCAGCGTCTGGGCTTTTATTGGTCAAGTTTGTGAGGTGTTTTTAGCCGTTTGGTAGAGGTGCAGGTAGTTTGTTCTAACACATTTAGTAAATTCTGTTGGCTTCTCTGACCTGGTTTCTCAAGAGCTTTCTCACTTTGTCCACTTGCCTTGTCACCTGCCCAGAGCACTCCTGTTAGGACTGAAGCATGTGGTGAGATCACCTCAGCTGCTCTGAACAGCTTTCTTCTCCTCCTCCACATTTTAATTTGCACATTGACTTTCATTCCACAATACAAAAATGGCCATCAAACCTTACCTCCACATGATTTTTGGTAATACCTAGATTTTATAGCTAGAAGCAAGTGGATATCCTGTTAGGATGAGCTAGAGCAGGCTTGCTTTGAAGTTCTTCTTTCAACAATAGCAAAGGTGGGTCACCATGAGGAGTCGTAAGAATCAGGGATTGCGATGAGCACACATCTGATAAAATCAATCGAAGGAAGACTACATAACATGAAAAACAATCGTAACAATTCATTATAGTCATATTTCTGTATATTCAAGTGTGTGGTGATGATGTTTTATACCGTTTCTTTGTTGTGTTCTCCAGTATAGTTAAAATATATTGAATAAGGATTATTATAATAGTGTTAGTAGTCCTACAAAGCCAAATGAAAACCAAACTGAGGCTCTCTTAAGTTTGCCCTGTTGCCCTCAGAGGCATGTCAACAAAGAGAGATTGAGAGATTTGTGTTTAGCCGGTGTTGCCACCTAATTGTCTCTTTCATGGCTCACCAGCTACTCTTTCCACTTCCATGTACAGGCAAGTTACACACATGTCCCTTGTGTCACTTAGGAAATAAGTGACGCTTTGTACGTCGGATCAAGACTGTGAGCTGCTGTGCATAGTCCTAACCATCCCATTGGAGCTGCTTTTCTGGACATTGCAAAGAGTTTCTTTCCATCCAGCCTTTGACTCTTGTCGAGCATCTTGGGAAGACACTGAGCAAGGGTTATCCAGAAGCTCAAGCACAGAGATTTTGATGTCCATTTGTTAAAACAGCTAACTACCAGTCATCAACTCCTAGTAGAGCATGAGTCTGGGAAGCTGTGTGTGTAAAGTCATAGCATAATTTGGTGGGATTGTAGTACCTGCAGAAGACTCCTGACTCAAAGAGGTTGAAGTGTAAAGAGAAAGTTGAGGTGTCTACAGTGGGGGGACAGTTTGGGACTTACTGTTTTCTCTTGATATTACGGGAGATAAGCACAGAGTCAGATGAATCTACCGGTGATACTTTCAGTCTGGTTTTTCAGCTGTGGAAACAAAGTAAAATGTCTCAGAAATGGTTTCTTTCTTGCGGGACTTGCAAGCAATACAGATACTCTTGAAATCACAACTATCTGATCTGAGTGCAGTGAGAACGCCAGAAAAGGAACAAATGATTAAAACAGGAGCTGTTGTGGTTACCACAGTCCATTGACTCTGTAAATTGTGCGTAGAGCCTTCCCAACTAAAGAATTTATATTGCTTAGGAGATTGAGGTGGTCTCTGAAGTGACTTTCAGATAATGTTAGTGACCTTCTAACCCATGTTAGCACGTTTCCTTGAACTCTGGAAGTTGCTAATCTTGCTAATACAAACAGGAACTTGCAGCTTAACATTTCGCAGTTTTGTGAGTAATAAGCAGTGGACTTCAGCGATTAGCCTCCCTGGAGCCCGACTATGTTCCTACAGGTTCTTGGTGTTAAATCACAACAGCTGCTAATATGAGAACTATATAATACGCATGAGAAAAAGAGAATCGTACTCCTTTTGTTTTTAGAAGAGGAATCCAGAAAGTGTTTTTGCTAATTTTTTTTTGTTGTTGTTGGGATATGAAAGCAAGTGCAAATCAGCAAGTACAGGGAGGAGAAAAAGAAAAACGAGTCACCTTAGAAAATGAGCATCCACTGGTCCTCAAGACAAAAAGCAGCAGGAAATGTTGGGAAAATAACTCTAAGATGTCCAGATTTATCGAAGTACTTACATGTGCAGCATGGAGAAAACAAGCCTTGTGTGTGTCAGTCCTGGGTGTGGGTGCATATGCCAGCGCGTGTGTTTGCATAGGGAGAGAAAACACACCTTAAGGAAATGTAAAGAATACTATTGTCTGTGGTTACTGAAAACGGGGAGAAAAGAGAGAGAGAGAGGGACACACAGCTGTCTTTTTTAATCGACTGCTGCATGCTTGGACGTCCAATGCCAACATGCACATTGACTGTGGAACGCTGGGTGCAGAGCTGCTTCAGAAACATGTGAAGGAGTGACCTGTTATTTTCTAGTAGAAATTAAGAACTACATTGTGCCTTAGTGTTCTTCTCTAAATCAGTTCCTTCTCTTCAACATGCTCAATCTTTCAAATGCCTTCCTTTAATGACTTAAGTAGCTATTTTACTCACCTTGTGATGTGGAACCGTGTTGAAGTCCCTGGTCAAACCACACTTGCTGGACAGTTATAAATGGAAACATTACAGTGAGGAAAAAAAAACAGGGCGTATGTTTTTAATTAAAAGGAAATGCAAGGGAAGTGATTTGCAGAATAACAAAATGAAGAAATTATAGCTCTTTTCCATAAATAATATATTCCCACCCTCCTGAACTGGAACAATTGTCATATTCCTGGTAGGTGAGGAATGCTCAGCTGGCATAAGCAGTCTTCTGCCCATAGGTCCTGTTGGCCTTTGCATACAGTCATTCATTACGTGCCCTATCTAATATCTTAACCACTGGAAATCCCCTGCCAAGGGGGTCAAAGTGGCTGTCAAAGTTATCTCCTCAGTAAAAGAGACTTTTATATTTAAAAAGTGAATGAAACTTGGTGAAAAACGCAGGCCTGGATACAGCTGTACAGCAGCACGAGCCTCCCGGTGCTGTTGGGATCACACAGGCGGCACATGGAGGTGCTAACGGTGTGAGGACATGGCACCTGGACACCTTGCCCACCCTCATACATTGACTTTTATAAAATATGAGCCTAAAGAATTCCTCAGTCATTTAAGGAAACATAGACACCACAGTTCAGACCCTCCCTACAAAGCTTGTCAATGCAATAGAAGAAAAATCCAGCCTATGTTTTCTGCGTTTGCCCCTTTGGTTTTTTGTACATGAGTTTTGTGGATATAAAACTGAGCAAACTTACACAAATAGGGCAAAACCCTCTTTTTCTTTCCTTTTAGGATAACCAGAATGCTCATCATTGGTGAATTCTTTCAATTCAATATAGTCTAAATTCAAGCACAACTGATAAGAAATTGCTGCAGCATAGCTCAAACTTGAGCATACCAACACTTCCTCTGGCTACGTTAAGCCTCGGGAAAAAACTTCTTAGAAAACCATCTACCTTAGGTATTTCCGTGGTCTGTATCACTGTAGTATCTAAGCATATCACAGTCTTTTAATACACTTGTTTCCATATTCTCTGTTGGTAGAAAATGGTATTATTCCCATTTTACACAGTGGGAAACAAGGCAGAGATCAAATAACTTGTCCAGAGTAAGAAAGCAACTTTGTTGAAAAACAGGCATTGGGGTCACACTTGCTCTTATAGGGGCAAAAGCCCTTTCTCCTCCAGCAGCTTTGTGGAAGCCTGGGACTCGTGTACTTCCTTGAGTAAATAACACAAGCAGCCTATTCAAAGTCAGCACTCCAACAGGAAAGCCGCCGGTAACGCCCCGGTTAGTGGGTAACGCCTGGGTTAACTGTCTCATGCAATGGATGTACAACATCAGGCGGGTCGTTTGTCCCATCAGTGTCACAGGGGCTACCGACACACTTTAGTGTGACCACCAGCTTTGGTAGGTTGGACCCAAATGTGCAGCAAGCCTGCACCACAGTGCTGACACCAAATGAGAGAGAGAAATGAAAGGATGACGCTGCAGAGGCTGTTTATGCAGATGACAGCATCCATCAAAGCTGATTGATAATTAAAGTCTGGGTTGGTTTAATTATTCTGTAACTGGCAGAAGGATATCGCTAGGTACAGTGTCTTGCTAGAAGGCAGCATCTTTCAAAAGATATCAAAAGGTGCTTATACACTTCAATACAAACGTAGATAATGTTTCTTTTGGATCTTTTAAGAAACTCACTTAACTTAGCTGGCTGTCTCAGTACTCAGCCATCAGTATTTTTTTGCAGTCCTCTTACACCTGTATTTTTATTTTCCCCTTAGTCCCTTCACATTTTTGACTTAAGGGCCAGGTACAAACCTTACACAATTGCAGACCTTGGCGTTGACTTTCCTGGGTTTCAAATTTAACCTGTGCTGGAGATCGTCCCCTCCTCTGGACATCACTAAATCTTTCCTGCCAGAGATAACTAGTCCTTGGGGCTCATAGCTGTACTTTGAAGAGAAAAATGTTTTGCCTTTGGAATGGACTAGGTTACACCACACAGAAGGTAATTTCAAAACATTTTTGAGGAAAGCATCCCCTTGGGTCCATCTCAAGGCCTTCACCGGTAAAGGACACAAGGCAGCACGCGATGCTATCAGTACACCTCCGTTACTTTCCCGGGGAGCAAAACAGTGAGGCTCAGTGCTGCCACAACCTTCCCGGGCTGGAGCTTGAAGGGGTCATTGTTTAAGTGGAAAAAGGAAGAGGAAGGGTTTTTCTCCGGTTTCCCTTTTAACTCCATAATTCAGGGAATTTATCACAGACCAACATGGAAATCTCTGTGTTGGCCCCATTCAGAAACACTGTCTGTGGGCCTGGCATCGGCTTTGTGAACAACACATTAAGCTGACGTGGTGAATAGATTTTTCTAGAGAGAAGTGCTTTGCTACAGTACTGTCTTTACTAATGTATATTCTTCTGCTTTCCATCAAACAGTCAATGAAGGCTCAGGTGAAACCAATCAAAAAGAGACATCGACCTGTGACATTTGCCAGTTTGGGGCGGAGTGTGACGAAGATGCAGAGGATGTTTGGTACAGTAATTTGGTCTACTCTTCTATTTTAATGAATGTTGTATTATTTAAAGGTACTGTGGTTTAGAAAGCATTACAAATATTAGATATTCCATTTTCTGCACGCAGAGATTCATCACACAGTGATTGAGGTGGTTATTACTCTGAAAAAATGTGTAAGAGTCTGGTTTATAATTTTGGAACATGCACAATTTAGACAAAGTTTAGAAACACAGTTATCCATTTTGTTGCTGTTATAACTTATGTTATTCCATCTGGGGTTTTACAGCTTTATACTTTGGTAAAAATAGAATTGGGAAGAATAATTGACCTAAAGCTTTTCTGGTTAAAAAGTATCATTGGTATTATCATCATGTTAATTCATGTATGGCATTAGAAACAGGGGGAAATCTGTCTCGCTTTTTCCTAGTTGCTGGAGTTGAAAACCTAACCCTCAAATGTCTGAAATAATTACAGTGTACATTTAGATATTTTCTCAATGGAAATTGTTTTATTTTTTGAAAGAGGTTTCAAAAGTACTCAGGTTTTTTTACTATTTTAAACCTTAACCACATAAGCTGAAGGGAAATAATTCTATCTACTCAGATTTTGTTTTTTTTTATTTTGCCTGGAAACTATGCAAGCATATGTTAAACCAACTTTAAACTAACCATTTCATTGTGATTTTGGAACAGCCAAGAGATCAAGAAAGCTGCCATTCACAGGGCTGTACTTCTAATGCTGCCTTAATGCCAAGCCTCATATTTCTATCTAAGTAATTAACACAAATTTAGAGATACAACAAAATAATCATGCAAATGTTAGAGCTGTTGTCTGGATGTTGCTTCTGAAGCTATGGGCTGGTGGTAGCTAAAGGGTGGATACAGGGGCTGAGCAGTGAGATGTCAGTAAAGCAATATTGCTCCAACTCTTAACTTGGACAGTAGGAATGGAGCAGGGAGGAGTCAATGAACGAACAAATGGTGAACATGATAACTGGGCCCAGTGGTGGGCAACTGGCCTCATCCAGGCAAGGCATCCATGCACTGTTGGTCAGGCATGAAGTTATGAACATTTCTGCTCTTCAGTGAAGAACCTTAGGAGTATGGTCATGGTCATCCATTTGTGGTTGTTTTGGTTTTGTCTCGCCAGGCTTTTAATAACCTCCAGTTCTAGTCTTCAAAAAACACCAAGTAACCAGGCCACAGAGGCCTTGCCCAAGAAGAAAGCCATCAAAAGAAATTGTAGTGTTGAAAAACAGGAGCAGAATGCATCATGGTTATAGGTTTGCAGTAATGTAATGAGATTTGTGGGGAAGAAATTGCTTAATTTTGACTTTGCGTAAGAAAATTACTCCAGGTGTCAGGGTTTTCATTGTCTCCTTGACCGGTTGTCCTTGAGAGTTTTGGTGGTGCAGTGTAGAAACAAATTAATATATCAAAATTCACAGTCTAGTGCTCATGTTTTCATAATTAAGTGCACTTCCAAATTGGAAGGCAGGAGAAGAGAGGGGCAAGGAATAAAATTAGCTACAAGATAACATTATTAATCATAAGCACTGAGTAGCAGTGTTTATTTTTTCCCAGGAATAGCTTGGCAAAATAGCCCGATCCAATTTACCCCAGTAATGTTGCCACTGCAGCTTTTGCACTGTCTAATTCCTCCCCTTTGAAACAACTTGGCTTATACGGAGCGGCATAATGACTGCAGGAGCTAAAGTTCTCAATCCTGATTGACAGGCGGTCCTTCTGCAGGGGACGATGCTTCTCGGAGCGGGAAGCAGGGAAGGACATTTGCTGGGAAGATGCTAGCAGACAAACTGTTAAAAGGCAGGAAAGCAGATTTCCATTCAGAAGTACAAAGGCCATGTAAAGCCTGTTAAAGGTCTGCTTTGAAGTAAACAACTTCATATGCCATAACAGAGCCCTGTTTTCCTGTTCATGCCCCCTGATTAGTCTTGGATAAATGTCTTTCTAAAAAATGAGCCGTCTGGGTGTTAGCTCTTTGTTATTCTTATTTTTAGAATAAAAGTGGACCATGTATGGGGCTCCTAGAATCCCTCTTTCAAACGTACATTAATTGAATTTCCATGTTTGGCACCAAAGAGACCCATTCCCCACTCCCCCTGCCAGGATTTGGTGCTCAGAAAATGTCCTTAGAACTAAGTGGGAAAAGAAACTTCTATTTATTATCCGATCACTGTTTTTATGCAGATCAAATTTCAGATGTAAGCAGGACACCTTTAGCTATCTCACCTGACTGATGAGATTTGTAAAATCCAACTGGGGTCGGTGGGTCCCAGCAACCCCAGGACCTGTTGTTACGGGGTGATGAGCCCAGCACGGGCAGTGTCCCCTATCGATCAGAAACAGTCTGAGGGTGCAAGGTCAGTGCCTGATCCATTCCAGGTAAGAGGGATGCAAGCTGGTAGCAGAGCCAGACTGCAGAGAGCTGGAGATGCGAGGCTGGCTGTTCGCCTAATATTTCTAGGGTGCCAGACTAGATCAGAGAAGAGAGCACAGGTGTGATAGCAGATGTGGTTGGGCTGCTGATGATTTAAAGCGACAATTAACATTATTCTACATTGTCACAGTCTGTTATTTTGCAGTCCCTTGTCTCTGGTTTAACTCCTCTTTTTTTTTTTTTTTTTTTTTTTTTTTTGGTTATTCATTGCCAGTTATCACTCAGCTAAATTGTGCTATTGTACTGTGCCACCATTATTTTTAAATCTTCTTATTTGCGTAAAACCAATCTGTTAATGGCTAGACTCCTGGGATTCTGGTAGAGGGTTTGTCACATAGAAGACTACTCACAGGGGTAAGATTTGTGTGTGAACATTTTCTAAAAAATACGAAGAAAAGGCAGAAAAGAACCCACTGTAATAACAGGTTTTCCATGGCATGGTAAAGCACACATGTATTATTATCCTATTCTGCAGTCTAGTATCACGAGAGTGAATGCAATTTGGCATTCCATTAGTGAATCTCTTCCTCTAGGTTAAAAACAAAGACTGTTCAGTTGAAAGTCTTTAACATCTTGCTACTTTAATATGTGAAAGCTTCTTGTCACTAAGAGGATCGTGTATTACTGGCATTATTCCCACCTTTAATGCATTTTGCACCAGTGGGCTTCATGAATATTTAAAGCAGGGCAGTGGCTATGCTCTTTAGCACTGGATTGCAATCTATTGGTAAATCAGACATTTGGTGTTGCTTACTTTGGGTTTTTTATTTCTGAGCTGGCTAAAGAATAATTGATTTTGTAAGACAGGGCTACTCAACATAACACCCGAGAGATAAACTTAAAAGGAAATGAAGAATGGAGTGTAACGTTCTCAACTGTGGTGTATTTCTAAGATCTTCCAAAAAGCATCTATGAAATACTCACTCACTGTATATAAATAGTATTCACCAAATGGAGTGCCTGCTCATCTGCTAAAGTGGCTTAGTGTCGTGCATAACCACGTCAGAAACCTGGATTCCAGTATTAATCTCCTTCTTATGGGCCACTGAGGAAGTAAGAGCACTCTCTACCCTGGACAAGCCATGGTTTGGGTAGATACTGGGCAGCTATTGCAGAGGTCCGTGATATGTCCGAGTAAGTGGAAGGAGATAAATACGAGGAAAAGCCTTTCTGTTGAATTTCCTGTTGGGAAGCACCAAGAAGAGAGGACAGGAGTATTTTCTTAAAACAAGATTAAAGCCTGCAAACCTCTGACTTGTAGAGTTAATCAAAATCAAAATGATGAATTGGGGTTAAATATGCGTGCTTTTCCTTTGAATTTCAATATCAGCAGGTCAGCCAGCAGCAGTCTCAAAGTGCGGCATTGCCCAGATTAGGATGCAGTTTGCTAGCTATAAGACAGACACGCAGCAATGTATAATGTGCTCAGGAGACAGTGCTTTCCCTGCAGCCTGGCAGTGTCCGAGGAGGCCATCTCTGCGGATTGCTCCTCTGCTTTCCCCTTCCTCCCTCCTGGAGGTGAGAGGCAGCAGTATCCCTGGCAGGAGGTGCCTGACCTTGAATGGGCCACTCAGGCGTTTGCACCAATGATAAAAAGGGGTGTAAATACCCCTGCTGCTTCCCACACACCCCAGGGTGTGGGAAGCCCTCCTTGGCTGAGCATAGGGTTTTGTGCTCTGCCATAGGCACCATGCTTGTGGTAGGCAGCTTTCCTCCCTCCTCACGAGCGTGGCCCACGTTGGAGGAGCCTTTTCTATTTCTTGCAAGTGGACAAAGATCCCACCAGGCAGGTTCAGCTCAGGAGAAGATGCTGAAGCCATTCTGTGGGGACACTGTGTCCCTGATGACCCAAAGCCGGGAGACTGGAGGAAGGCATCCAGGCCTGAATGAAGGCGCTTGGCATGTTCAGTGTGTAGGTCGGGGAGTAAAGGAAGGAGCACCGGTCTCAGGCATGCTCTGCGGCTGGGTGGTATTCCCAAGTGAGGTGGAGATGTCGCAGCATAATTACAGAAAGTCCCTCGTGTCCCGCGCTTCTTTCCGCATGGCTGGGACAATAAACTCCACTTACCCACAGCAGACAGACACACACACACAAAGCATATTAAGATGATTAACTGTTTCAGTCCTTTGTTTCATTTTTTACAGCTAATCACTGATATATATAGTTTGGGTAAATGCTCCTATAAGGCAGGTGAACGGTCTGCAACACATGAGGATGGTGAAACTGCATTCTCATGCAAATAAGCAGCACTGTACATGGGAGATATTTGTGCAAATCATGCAGCTGCCGTCTGCGGTGACCCCTACAATCGATATTGCTCTAGCAATCAATATTTATCTTTATTGTAGTATGGAAAGAAAACATATAAAAGAAACTAACGATTTTGCCAGCTTCTCAATCCACACAGCAATTAGGTCAGTCAGCTTTGGGTCCCTTCCCCCTTCAATCAGTTGCTTTCAACCAGAGCATCTGCAAACAAGATGCTGTACCACTATAAAGTACTAAAAGGTAGTTTGAAAGCTCACATACATTACACAAGTATTGGCTGCTTCATGTT